GCGCCCTCGAGATGATGCTACACGGATGGCAGCGGCTTCCCGCGCTGACGCGGAGTGCTCGTGTTAAGTCGGGCCTGTCCCTCTACAAGAGGAATAGTCAAACACAAGGAGAAAATTGCCTGGGGACGATATTATTTGAGTATGTTTTGTTTCCCGTCCACAATCCGCTTGTAGGGGGACATGCCCGACCTAAAGCTTGTCTTTCAGGAGGGAAAAGAACACACAGACACAATTAATCGCCGATTCCCCCGAAAATATTGGAAAATACGGGAAAGTGGTGGGGAAGACAAACGCCTCAACAAATATTGAAACATATGGGGAATAGTTTTATCTGTGTGTCTTTATTTGTGTGTCCTTGGGCCTCTTCAGTCTCCAAAACAGGCCTCTCGTTCTTGGGCCGCCGAGCACGCTCGTCGTGAGCAGGTCTGGTCACTCTGCGCGGGCGGAGGGCTTTTCAAAACGGGGCTCTCGCCTTGGATGATGTCGGGCCTGTCCCTCAACCGGGGGGAAAATTCAAGAATAGCCTAAAAATGGTCAAGCAGTGGCGAAGCGTCCCGGCGTGCTTATAGCCCTGCCAAACAATGTTCTAAGAACTTGTTTCTGTGGTTTCCACGAAATGTTCTTAGAACATTTCTGGGTGGGACTGTCTTGTTTTTCACACATCGGGTTCATGTTCTTAGAACATTGTTTTTGTTCTTAGAACATTTTTGGTTCCAAGAGGATGCCGTGGTAGGACTATAGGAATGCCGGGAGAGTCGGTCCCTGCTCAAAATGATTCGGCGACGATTTCTTGACTATGTTCTCCCATTTGCGGGGTATTTTGAGAACATGTCTGATCTTTAGCCCAAGACCCTCCTGTAGGGGGACAGGCCCGACCTGAGCCTTGGAGCCGCGCACACTGGTCTCAGAACGTTCCACCAATCAGACGGGCGGTGAGCGGTTCCTTCTGAACACGGGGTTCTCGCCGACGAGTTCTTCAGCATGTGCAACAACAAATGCAAAGTTGCGCAACAGCTGCACGGACAATGGGCTTATCTTTTTCCACACTGGACTCTCGCGCGAGGCGTTCGTGATGCTATCGCCGGATGCCCAGGCCCGTGAGATTCTTGCACGGACGGAGGGCGGTTCTCTTCCAAACCGGGGGTGCCGCTGGGCATTCCCTCAAACTCTCTTTCAAAATGGAGGAGGAGGACTCCTTCAAAATGGAGGAGGAGCAGGAGCTCTCCTTCAAAATGGAGGAGGAGGAGGACTTCTCACGCGCAGGTTGCGGGCACTCCCTCAAAATGAAGGAGGAGGAGGAGGAGGAGGAGGAGGAGCGAGCGGAGGCCCCTGGAGGTGCCGGCCCTCGCTGAGGCCACCCGAGGCCTTTGGCACACTCTTCTCAGCTTGCTCCTCCTCCTCCTCATCCTCCTCCTCCTCCTCCTCCCTTCTCCCCCTCTCCTCATGTCCTTGGATGCCCGCACTCTGTCCCTCGGCCCTTCCTCCCCCCGTGCACCTCCCCGCACCTCCTCCTCACTTCCTCCTCCTCCTCCTCATACCTCCCCCCTTCCCGCTCCTTACTCCTCCGCCTCCTCCTCCTCCTCCTCCTCCTCCTCCTCCTCCTCCTCGGCGCCTGTGGACCTGGCGGCCCTGGTGGCTGCGGCGGTCCGCGGAGCCGTGGACGGCGGCGCGCCGCGCCGCACTGTCGCTGCCGTGGCACGCTCCGCCGTGTCGGCCGCCGCCTTCGCGACGCGGCCGATTCCGCGGGAGCCTGCCGCCGCGGGTGGCGGAATGTGCCCTGAAATGCCTGCCGACGCCGCTCCTCGCGCTTCCTCGGAGGCGCTGCGCGAGCGGCGGCGCAGGCGCCGTCAGAGGCGTGCGGGGCGGCGCGCACTGGAGCGAGGGGAAGCTGCGGCGATGGCGGATGCAGCGGTGGCGGATGGCCCGCCACCCGCTGCGGTCCCCGCTGCCGCTGGCGGCCCCAACACGGACAACGACGGCGGCGACGACGTTGAGTTTGACGACGCCTGGGCGGACGAGACCGTGCCGAGGAGGCGCAGGCCGCGTCGTGCTGGGGCGTGTGCTGCTTCGGGAGGCCCTAGTGGAGCAGGCGGCGTGCCGCGTGCGGAGGCAGGAGCTGTACGTGGTGGCGGCGATGCTGCGGCGGCGGCGCCTGCGGCGGCTGTGGCCGCGCGGGCGCTGGCGGCGACTGGAGCTGATGGCGCGGGCGTCGCCCCGCCTTCCGCGGAGGTCGCTGCGCCCGCTGCTGGCGCGCAGGGTGGCCACATGTTCTCGCCTCAGGTGAAGGCGGAGCTCGTGGCGGCGCCGGCGGCGGGCGACAACGGCCGCATCACCTCCATCATCCTCAGGGCCGCCGGCGGCAGCTCGAGGTGATGCTGGCGGGCGTCTTCGCAGGCTGGGCTG